TTCAGTTCACACACTCATGTGATTCTTTCCAGAGGTTTGAGTCGTCGTAGCTTCAGGAGTTCAAGAGAGATGAAAAAACAAATTCAAAGCTGAACCTAGTTTTTATTCTGCAGGAGTGTTTTTCTCCTCCAAACAGGTTTTATGTGATAACCTGCAGTGGTTTGATGTCTGTGACGTGTAGCAGCAGTGTTCAGATTTATTACAGTTACGAGTAATAAGTGTGTGTTTCAGGTCTGCTGGCATCAGTGCCGTCCACCCACGGGAACGGGAATGGAGGAATGATGGCCTATTCTCCTGGAGAGCAGCACCCAGGGACCAACAGTTCACACAGTAAGGCCTCTGACACAGTCCGAGCTTCCAGCCGCTCTGGCAGCTCTGTTGGTGAGTCACGTCTTCTTCTGTGGTCTTCAGCGCCCGGAGTGTCGGGGAGCCCCGTTCCAACAGGAAATGGCAGCGGAAGCATCCTTCTCAACTTTGACAGCGAAGAACAGACCGGCCCCAGCGGCGTTGGACAGCAGCATCAGCGCCTGCAGCAGCATGGTACATGACACGGGCAGCGTCGCCATCAGACGCCGCAGCTTCCTGTCTGGACTGAGGTCAGATTCACAGTTGCACGATGTCGTATTTATAGTGTGTTTGTGTGAGATGCAGGATACCACTCAGTGCCAGACACCAGCCAGAACACCAGCAGCCGACTCTTCCACGAGTTCGCTGTGCCTCAGCACCCAGGTACGCCGCGGGCGGGAAGCATGTGAAGTGTTTCACGTCAGCTTCGGCTCAGACCTTTACCTCCTCCTTTTCCTTCAGGACTCCTCCTGCACCCCCGGGGCGGCATCACAGGGAAACGGGAGCGCGAGTCGGAGCGTGAGGGGTCGGGGGAAGAAGAGCCGGCGTCCTGCTCCGTGCACAAGATGCAGCGACAGAGCGCAGAGGTCAGCCCGCCACTCGGCTTGTTGTCAGCTTCCGTCCAAAAGCTGCCAAAACAGTCCTGACACGTAAAACCTGGCATCCCGTATTTCAGGACTTGTTCCTTGTTGAGGGAAATTTAGGCCGTGTGTGAAACAGAGCGCCATTCCACCCCGCAGATGTGAAGACTCCTGTGGCGTGCTGGGTCCTGCCAATAATCCAGGTGTGTCTCGTCTCATTGCAGGCAACCTAGAGCAGATGGAGAAGAGACCGCGCACAGTCCATGGAGCCGGCAGAGAGAGGAAAGCCCGACATCACCGCCTGTCCTCCAATCACAGCAGCTCCAGACAGGCGCCTCCTCTTCCTACTTTTCCTCACACACAGAAAATCCCAGGGAGCACACACAGAGGTGAAAATGTGTCAGTTGGCTCGAGTCGGTTGACCTCTGACCTCAGAGGAATGTGCAAAGAAACAAATGACCTCAAACTTTATTTCTAATAAAATAAATAAACCAATAAAAACGTTATTGTCTTAAACGGCTGCCACCGCCACGCAGCTGCCCGGCTACGACGCGGAGCCTTCGTCACAGGCTTTGAGAGTCTTCTTCTACTCAAACAGGTTTAAACAGGGAAACGCTGCTAAAGCTCCGCCCACGAGCCACGCCTCGAACAAAGAGGTCATCCAGAGGAGCGCAGCTGTAACACGAGTGACCCGAAGCACCGAACGCAGCCTGCCAACTTCACTTCCTGTCTGTGTAAATAAAGCCTTTTTTTAATACTGGAGGTGCAGCGGGTTATTAAACTCCTACTTAACGGCACTGGTTGTGATTCCCCCTTTCACCACCTGGGGCAGCATTTCACCAGCACGTGTCTTCACGCTGTGAATGAGCGCGGCTCACCGCTGCATACATGCGCACGCTACGCCGGGGCTTTGGATGTGGAGTTTCTTCACATCCTGCTGATGCTCCAGTTAACTTTTTAAAGCAGTTTAGAAAAACAGGATGTCACACGTACTACCTTTATTTCCGACGCTGGCTTCGTGGGAACGTCTTCACCTGCCTGGTTTGTGCTCGACTTGTATCGGCAGCTAACATCGAATGCAAGTGAAATTTGGATGCATTAAAGTCACAAGTGTCAGAGGTGTTTATATGTTTATAGCCGAGCCCGTTCGCGGTCTTTGAGTCGTGTTTACAGTGACGTTCTTAGATTAGAGCCTTCGTGCCATGGCGTCGTTTAGCCCTCTGTGTGACGCCGTCGTGCACGAGGAGGCGAAGCGCGGCTGAACACTCAGGTCCTGACCTGAGACTTGGACCATCGTCCTCGCAGCTTTGCCCACATTTTTCCTGAGGTCACTTTAGCACTTGTTTGGTCCGACGTGGCCAGTCACATTTTCACCTCTCTGCTCCCCTCACACACACGTCATCTCTGAGGTTTCCTTCTGCAGATGTGCTGGTCGAGCTCATGGCTGCGTTCAGTCTCCTCTCCAAGGCGTCACATTTTTCTAAGATTTCTTATAAAAACCAAAAACCTGCTAAACAAAAATGAAGGAAAAAAGACTAAAAGCTAAGTTGAGTCAACGCGCTGAGACGGGCGACCCAAACGAGCCTCATTCTGTCACAGACAACATTCCTCACACGGTTTCCTGCGGCGCTGCACAGAGGGACACGTGAAGCGTGCACGGCTGTTCGGGATCATTAAAACTGTAAATCTGCCCAACGTCTGCTTCATGGCCGACAAACAAAGGGTCGCTGGCGTCCAGGGGGGTGGGGATCCTCCACCAGCACCGCCACTCCCACTCAGAGAATGTATGATAAAATCCACACAGCAGCATCGGTGGCTGACGTTAGCACCACCAGCTACACACACACACACACACACACACAAAGATATGCACACCTGTTATTACAGCGCAGTTTCAGTAGTTACCCTGTTTTCTTTTGAGTTTACAGTGATTACCCGAGTAGTTCTCGTGTCATTACAGAGTAAATATATACAGTAAATAAGCTGTTTTCCACAGGAAACGCAGTAACAGAGTAAATACTTGTAAATATCTGGTGATTTCATTGTATTTGCGTACAGTTACATGAGTAAGGACCAGGCTTCATGTGAGTTTGAATCCGGGCTAATTTACCTGTATTTAAACTGTAATCACACCCACAACTGTAAACTCAGATAACTCATTTCCTGTTGTTTCACAATAAAAGTCTTCTTCTACTGAACAGTCAGAGGCCTTTATTGTGAAAAGTGTTCATTAAAAAATAATAAAGTCCATATCTCTGTCTCTCTCACTCTCTCACACACACACACAC